AAGTCAGAGCTTATTTATGTAGCAAAGCACTTTGTTTTACGTTCATGCTATTACATAAACTCAAATCTCAAACCTTTCTTTGCTTTGTCATTCCTGTAGGAGGACATGGATCACAACTACTACACATCAAAAACATACGGCCCCTCAGATCCTATGAGCAAAGACTTGTGGGTAAATATTGAACAGATGGAGAAGGACAAAGTAAAGATCCATGGGATTCTATCCAACACACACAGGCAGGCGGCGGTAAGTCAACAACAGCCTGATGAGCAATCTAATGGATGCTATATGTTATTTAAGCCCATAGTTCTGTCTTGCAGAGTATCAAAGTATTTTCATTGTTTTTATAACCCTTGAGGTTTTTCACAAAGTGACAGTTTACAACTACAGACTTGGACAACATATTTAAAGTTGTACGACGACATAACATAGAGCAGTTTTGTACAGATGTTTGTACAAGCATAAACATGAAAATTATGGCACGCTTTGTTTTATTAAACCCTTATGATGATAATCCCTCAAAACAGCCCATAGTTGTAGAAAAGGGGTTTTGTGTCAAATTCCACTTACTTCATAGTAACTTACTTTGTGTTGGACTTTTACACAATATCCCAATACAGTATGTTGACATGTAGTTTAAATCTAACAAAGTGTTGAAAGATAATAGAAATATGTATAATTTTGTAAAGTAGATATGACCAGAGGTCCGTATTGACTAGTTACATTTGCAGGACTTATGTTTGAAAACGAGTTTTATTAATAGTATTATTAAGATTTACAGCTACTCCTACAGTATCAGTATAATCATTGAATAAAGAATAAGCTTGTTTTAAAAAAAGCACATCTGAAATAGAAAATGTAAGTTATTAGCTTGTAAAGAAACAAGGATTATTAATTTAGACATTGTTTTCTAATCTGCATAGCCTGCTGTTGTAATTGAAGGTTAAATGATTGCAGTAAATATCTATATATTCCCAACTGTAATTACTGTAAGTGTTAATTATGTATGTTTGTGTTTTCCTGTCTGGAGTTATTTTCAACCACATTTTTTTTTCTTTTCTTATTCTTTCAAAAAATGTACTAAAATTTGTTTCTGCTTGAAAATAGATTTTTTAAATACTAAATGAAATGTTATTAGTAGTCACTCAATGCTGAAATAGGCTTTTTACCAAAAACCTTTTTACTCTTACTTTAGTAAGTTTTTTAGTTGATAATTTTTACTTTTTACTTCAGTAGGGATACGTTGAAACAGAATTTGTTGTCTACTCCACCTTTCTCTATTGATAAGTCAACTGTGTTACACTATATGTAGGCTGTATTTAACAATTGGCAACTGGCAATTATTTAAATTAATCTATGACACATTATATGGAATAATTGAAATACTTTTGAATAACATGCAGGTCCCTTGCAATAATAAAACAACATAATTAAACTTCAGTGTAGGCTACTCCCAATATCATTATATGATAAAAGTGCAAAATAAGAGAACATGTCCGATAAAAATAGAAAAATCTTGGGTTGTATAAAGAGAAACCTGAACAAGACTCATAAATTACACATTATCAAGATGAAGAAGGAACAGGTTCCCTGAAGACCTGCCTGCTTGATGTCAGAGTGACGGTGTAAATCAACACTGGAGCAGTGGAGAGTTAATCATGATTATGACCATGTAACACATTCGATCTGTCAAATGTCAAAGAAAGATTCTCTTTAGCTTGATTAATATCTGCAAAAATGTTTAATAACACATTCATGCAAAAATAAGTTAAAGCAGAACCAAAGAAACTTAACAGGAAAAGCATTATGAGATGGCTGCACAATTCTGCAAAAATTAAAAGTTGCAATTTTTTTATAATTTTTTATTTTATTTTAATTTTATATTGATTTTCCCCGCCCTTGCCACAATCATAAAGATATTTAGCCCAGGGTGACCTTGAGAGCTCTTGTCCAGAGTCCACTATCACAGGACTTTTCTGTTCCTAGCTTTGATCAAAGAAATAGCTGCATTTTTCCCTTATATTTGTTGACAAATCCTCTTAAAGTGTTTTACTGTCACCTGAAGGGCTGGGGTCAGACAGTTAATGTCTTACTCTCGTAACATGCAACATAACCGAAATTAAGTGATTCTGTGACTGAGATTTCATATATTGTAAATTGCGATTATATTGAAAATGCAATTAATTTCTTAGCTTTAGTAAAAACCAGCGAGTGACTTCACCTAAAGACTTTGACTATTTTAGAGGCAAGCAATAAAAAATCTATGTAGTATCGACAAAAACAGGCAGCTTTCTATAACAGGAGTCAATTCTTTTAAAAATGTATGTCACACCGACAAAACCGGAAGGTACTATGAATGAATGAATGTTGATGGCATAATGGCCCTAATATATACACTGCAAAAACGTTCTTAAATTGAGTAAAATTTTCTTAAAATAACTGTATTTACCCTTAATTTGAGTAGGAAAATAAGATTATCTGCCAATGGAATGAGCAGTTTTACCATTAAAATAAGGTAGTTAGTTATTATGCACTTGAAATAAGAGACTGCATGTGTTTTTTTTTTTATTTTACATGTAAATTGTCTTATTCCATTGGCAAAATGACTCCCTTGTCTGCTTAATTGAAGAAAAGATGCACTCATTTTAAGAAAAATTGACTTACTTAGATTTACATTTTTTGCAGTATTAAAAAAAGCAACTATTCTGCTTATTTGCAGCACAGAAACACACATAGCAAAAACTGCAGATCCTGTTTGCAGGAAGCTCCGTAGTTAATAAAAGAGGACATTGTTTTTCTACACGTTCGAGAAACTGTTTTCCTGTTGCGAATAGGATTTTAATATTTTGACTATCATTTTTGACATGTCAATGCTGTCAAACATAAAATGTTAATTAGTCAAGGTGGTGAATTAAAGTGAGATTGGGCTTTCTTCAAAGAACATTAAAATCTATACATCAGATGCCAGTTTCTTACATCTTCAAGCTATTGCTCTCTGATGACAATTCTCAATGCCTCCTCCTCGCTGGACAAATCAGCATATAAATCTCTACTATATGAACTCAGATTGGATCTTTATGGATTTATCTTTCATATTCCAGCACTAAAAGACCAAAAAAAGCTGTTGTTTTCCATGCAGTTTAAATTCTTATCTGCTGCTAGTTTAAAGCCCTCCCTCCAAGTCGGTGCAGGCAGGTGACCCATGTGAGCTGCATACTGATAAAGTCACATAAGTCAGCAGCCGCCGACCAGGGAGACAGAGCAGCATGACAGCAGGGAGAAAGGAAGTAACCTGAGTGAACAATAGTTGGAGAGGAGACAGAATAGAGTCCCTCATTGTGCTTTCTGCTCCTCTGCTTTCAGTCTGTTATAATGATGGGTTTAACTTTACTCATTCAAGGATGATATATTCCTGCTGAAAGAAGACATTTGAACTATTTTGGCTTATTCTCCAACTTTGGCTTGGTTTGACAAATCGATAAGTAAATAGCCTCACTCAACAGGGAGATATATGGATATATGGAAATCCTGGATGATTCACTGAGAAGGGAAAACCATCTGTGTTGGACTGATCTGAGGCGTGACAGAGGGGAAATGTTTCAGTTCATTGTAATGGGCAGTAAAAATCCTAAGAAACTGCCTTAAGCTTAGCAGAACATACTCCTTTCCAGACCCACCACCTGCCAAAACCTTGGCCCAGACACAGGAAAAAATGGCTGGTAGAAGTCAGAAAACAAAACATGATAAGGCCAGCTCTACCAGATGATTTCTGCAAAGTTAAGCTGACACAGTTTGTGAGATTCAGGACGGTTTACCACAAAACTACTAACGGAGGGCTATGTAGTTACAGTATTTATTGCAGCTGCCGATCTTCATGATGGCCTCTGGCAGTTATTGTGACATATTTAAAATGGTGCAGCCCATAACTGTGGTATGTGAGCATAATCTTCTCTGATATTCTTTGATAAGTTGATAAATATTAAATGGTATTTTAGCTCCAATAGTTAAATCTCAAATGGTTATATAATCTGGAATGCAGTGCCCACTGATGAAAATACATCTTGTGATTTGTCTGCCGATGCGGGACCTCACTTGGTCCTGGACAGATGGAAGTAACGCTGAAAGCGACCATCATCCAGTCACAGCTCCTGAATCAGGTGATTGTTCTTGCCAGACTGGGAAGAAATCTAGAGGATCTGGTGGACCCAGCAACACATACCCTGTCATTCTGCTTACCGCATTAAACAAAACAGCTTGACTTGCACAGTAAAACCATTGGGTTGAAAAGAGAGCAAGATAGAAACTTCTGATATCTGATGATGTAGCGAGCCGAGCTGGGTGAAATTCTGCCAGTGTTGTTCTGAATGGGATGTTTGATGAAAACCAAACCTAGTCCCACTCCTAAAAACAGAAAACAAAGGTTACAGTTCACAGAATCACCTCAGTAAATAAAGCTACATGTTTTATACAATCGAATAAATGTGAGTCTGATTTTATGTAAGAAGACAATGTCAGGTAACCCAAATATAAAAAGGATTCCAAATATTTCACCAAATATTTTTTACATTTACAAGAAAATATTTAACTTAAGTTATTTTGCTAATTGATGATAAGTTATTAATCAGTGATATTGAATTATTTTGTATCCAGATTCATTACTATCTTAAATGTAACTTAATGAAACAGTATTTAAAACATTATAGTTTATCTCCTTATCAACCTATTAATAAATACTTTATTTACTCTTCTAGAAGCAAAACATTTTACTGCCAAGATTTATCTTTGTTTCACATAATCTTGTGAAATGTGTGCCACAGACCATCAGTTATTTCCTGTATTAAAAAAGCGCCCCCTCTTCGCTTAACTTTTCCCCATTTACTCTCTGGTCTTTATTCTCTGTTGTATTTAAGATAAAAAGTAGTTTCTGCTTTGATTTTCTGTTACCTTTATTTTTCTGACTTAAACCATCTGTCTGTTTTTCCATTCAGAGAGTTAATCTGTCCTTCGATTTCCCGTTTTATGGACATCTCCTGCGTGAAATCACTGTGGCAACTGGTGGTAAGTTAGAGTCTGCTTTCTCAATAGAAGTCATGCCTGTAATTGTTGGAGCAACAGCATGTGCTTGGCATAGCAGAGTGTTCACTGTGATTTTTTTTTTTTATTGCTGTGAGATTTAAGATTTCAGACAGTAATGTGGAGAAGCTGAGCAGAAAGTTTGGATTTTGCTACCTTTTTGCTTGCAGGCTTTGCTAAAGTGTTTACCAGCTGAGACCAGATTTCTAAATACACTTTAAAAAACACAGCTATTATGTTTCCTTTTCAGTTAAATTAGGATTACCAAACTTATTTCTATATGTTAAACAATAAAAGAAAGGAGATTTTTTTTTACTTTCTTCAAAGTCTAAAGTTGCATACCATAAAGTAAGAGGACTGACTTTTAACAGTTAAAAAAAAAGTAAATCTTATGATGTGCTTCTATTCTGGTTGATTTACTATAACTTGAGTTGAACTGTGGCACCAATGGGTGTATTTTAAGCAATATCCATAAACACTCTGCTTAGTTTTGTGATATCTTGGCAAAAAAAAATCCACAACGTAAAAATAAAAAGAGAGATCAGGGAACATATCCCAAAAAATGTCTTTTTTTATAATACTAATCTTTTTCATCCAACTTCTAAAGTTGTCATGCCAGTCTGCAGTGTATTTTAGGATATACACAATATCCAGTAATATACTGGTCAGGGAGAAGATGGATTCTTCCTTCCTGTGGTGCTTGTATTTGTTGTGAAATCTGTATATTATTCCCAGACTAAAAATAAAAGACCTTGTAAAGCTTCTGGCTGAGGGTGTTACAGCTCATTTACATTGTCATCCTTCAAAAATTTCAAAATGACCAAATTAGTTCCAAAGAGGCTGTCAGACCCAGAACAAGAGGACCTAATATTCAAGGTGGAGAGACAGTAAGGTTTAACAAAATATTTTTTTAATATGTAGCAGAAGAAAACCAAGACGGTGTCTAAGGCAGGAACCTCTGGACTTAAAGTTCAGTCCGTTCCCAGAGGATGAGATTGGTTCCAGCTTGACGGCTGCCAACAAGACACGGCATGCGCCGCCCAGAGAGTCCCAGATGGTGTAGTCCTGGAGGTCAGATGAAAGGCAGGAGATCAGACCTGAGTAGAAAGAAGTAAGGCAGGATAATCCAGAGAGCAGAGCCAAAGCCGGTGTCGAGAAGTTGCACAGGAGTCAGGATCAGGAGATCAGAGAACTTAAGAGGTACCGAAGGGAAATCCAGGTCAGAGTCAGAAATCAGTTCCAGGTTCGGTACAAAGGTAGAATCCAGCAGAAGTCCGAGGACAGGTCAGGCAACCAGATCAGAACAGGGACAGACACGTTCAGAGGTCCAGAGGCAGAACTGGTCAGGCTCAGGTAATCAAAAACAGTCAGGTATTCTAGATAACTCTCACCACAAACTTGAATAATCTGGTACTAATGATTGGTCCAAAGGCTGGTTATATAGAGGCTGAAGCAGGTGGATCAGATGAACGGTAATGGGAACTGGGCAGAGCTAGGCATGTGAATGAAATTAGTAATCAGGCCAGTTATCATCACCAAGATCATGACAGAGGCTTAAGGTCAACGGAGTTTATGTCATGGAGACACCATAATTAATCTCTGGTCTCAGTCTCGTAGAAAATTAGCTGTGCAGAGTGGAGATGTTGCATGTAACCAATGAGGTTTACAAAGTTGACTGAGTTACACCTTTGGGAGGTGTTTGCAAATATACTAGCACACTGCAGCGAAAGGTTTCAGGAGGATTCCCAAAATAGTGGACCCAAGTCATCCATTTAAAAAGGGTAGTCAACAAAAACCCAGCAAATGCAACTACTGTACGTTTCTAACTTTGTCAAAAAAAAAAAACACAATCAAATAAATAAAAACAAAAGCTACTGCATTTTTTTTTTGTCTATTTATCTGTTATATGACAAACCTGATTAAATAAAGAGTAATAAACAGAGCTAGTCTCTCAAATTGGTGTGCTACTGTTTCGTCAGTCAGAAGGGGAAAAAAGTTTCTTTGTGTACATTATATATAAGTGTATGATTTTCACTATGTACATGTCTCTTACAATACTGTATTTGAGGGAATAAATTACAAATGTCTGGATTAAAGTGTGTTGTTTGGCAGAAATAACCCAACAAACCTCTAACAACTGTGAGCCAGCCAAGTGGTCAGCGTGATAGGAGACTGGAGAAATTTCTCACCTCTATGGAATAGTCTGCTAGACTGAAAACAAACCCCTCCCAACATTCAGCAACTGCTTGCCTTCCTTTTCAAGACTTAGCAGAGGAGAAACCAGACCCGTGGTATTTGGGCTGGAAAGCGGACTCTGCCAAGTCCCACCCTGACAGACTCAAATACGGAGGTGGGGGAATCAGACAGTGTGAGGCAGAGGAACGTGACAAAGCACTTGTGTTCACTACAGTGTGCAAAGCAATTTTCCACTTGAGTCTTGACAGCAAGACCACAAACAGCCCAGCCAGCTTTTATCACATGAAAGACCGCTGCTCGGCTTTTACCCAACTATTCCAGAGATGCAGGCTTGCCCTTCTCTGAAAAGATGGAGAAATGATTTGTTGTGGTTCTTATCATCATCACCATCATCACTGCCTAGATCCTTAATTTCTGGAAGCTGGCTTTAGAGAGGCTCCAGAGGGATGGGCTTGCAACATACAAGCAAGGAGGAGATAACAAGTATTTGCATACTGCTAGACAGAGATGGAAAGGCAGCACCAACGAGTTAGAGGAGGAGGCAGCTATCTTCCTCTCACAGGCCTTAGGGGTTTTGATCTGAGACTTCCTCCTCCCGTACCCCCTTTCAGTCAGCCCATCCTCTCATCAATCTGTGATCCTGTAATTTCATTCAGTCACCAATTTAAGAAATATTCTTTCCACTAGATCTACATAAATAGATGGTCATAATAACACAGTATATATTCCAATTCACAAAGACATCATTTCGGAGCAATTTGCAAACCAACAAGTTCCAGTTTATATCCAATGATGTCAACCCCAATTCTGCCTAAATAAAAACAAAAGGTGAATCCAGTTAATTTCATATCAGTTTACTTTCACATTGAGATTCTAATCCAGTTACATACCACCAAATTAAATCCAGATTAGGTTACTGTCATATGTAGT